TTCCTGTTTTTCTTCCATAGCCGTATGTGATCGGCCAATGTGCACACTCGATCCTTGTTGCGCCGTAGTTCCATGGAGCGAAGAAGAGAGTTCGTTCGATCTTGCTGTTGTAAGAGACTCTTCTTCAACGTATTGGTAGGCTCAACCGCCCTGGCAGCAAACTTGGCACTTATCTCATTGAACGATGAGATTAGTGCTTTGGACAGAGCCCTGAGATCGGCTCTGGTGGCAAACTCCATGCTTGATGATGAAGCGGTTGGTGGCACGGAGGTGGTGGTGGATGTAGATGGAGGAATGGGAAGATTGGCAATGAGATTTCTCACCTCTGTAGTAAAGGGGGAGAAGGCTTCATCGAAGGATGGGCCTGCAGAGGGAGGTGGAGGTGGAGGTAGAGTAGGTTGGGGTATGTTGGCTAGTATTGTGGCTGGGAGTTGGGTTAGGATGGTTTATATGGTGGCCGTTTGGTTGGTGAGGGAGGCTAGGATTTCATCGATTGATGAAGTTGTTTGAGGTAGGTTTGGTTGAGGGATTTGGGAGAATATGGTGGCTGGTAGGGTGTTTAGGGTTTGGAAGGTGGTGTTTATCTGGGTGGTTATGGAGGCTAGGGTCTCATCGTTGGTAGTTTCCTGGGTCGTGAGGGTGGCGATGGAGTGAATGAGAAGTTGGTTTCTTTGGGTGGCAAGGGAGGATGAGGTGTTGTGGTGTTGGGTTACGGTTTATTGCAGCATTTGGAGATGGGTTGTATTGTCTTGGGTTTGGGTTGCAAGGGTGGCAAGGGAGGCAAGGGATTGTTGAAGGGTGGTGATATCGATGGATGGTGGGTTTTCAACAATCCCTTGGATGATGAGTTTTAGGTCTTCCAAGGACCGCTGAACTGAGTCAACAAAAGCTTGGAACTCAGCCTTTGTGACCAGATCGGCCACGGGGGTAACCCCTGCAGCAACGGATGCTGAAGGTTGAGCCTCAGCTCCAGAGGCGCCTTCATTGCCTTGTGAAAATATAGGCCGTGAAGGACTTCCATCATGTCCTTGATAGCCTTCTAGCGAGGAGCTATCTCCTGATGTTGCAACAACTTCTTCTTCTTCCTCGGCTTCAGAGGCCGGGTAAGAGAAGTAATTGTGTTTCCCCTTCGTTAGATCAAGTATCGAAGGGGTGTTTTGTGCACGAATGGGAGATCGCTCTGAACGAGGAGTGCCATCATCATCATCATCATCTTCATCATCCGATGAAGATGGTTCCTGTGCTCCCTCGCTTGACTGAGGGGACGACTCTATGCGCTCTGGGATAGATGCCCTTGGTTCATGGGACAAGAGAAAGCGTTCGTAAGTTCTTTGGATCTCAGACGTCTCTAGGATGACACTGAGCATGGCTCTGGAGATTGGCCTGTTGATGGTGTATCCTTCCTTTGAGAGTGTAGGTTGATGGCCATGCATCTTGAAGAGGGGAGTGAATGGTTTCTCGACTGGTAGGTTATGTTTCCTCATCGCATCCCCTATGAAGAGAGATAGGAAACGAACAAAACAGAAGTCAAGGGCTTGCTGGTAGCCTGGAGCTTACACTTTTTGACTATCGCTGAGTGGATCTCATTGTATATGAGGAAAGCATAGTCAAGAGGGATGTTGAAGAAGAGTCCATACATAATCGTCATTATGTTTATATTGCCTTGATCCATTGACCCTAGCTTGCAGGTGAGGGCCCTGTTCAATACGGAAAAAACATGTTCCACATTGGCGGCAAAAACTGCCTTTTGAAATCGGAGGCATTGCATAGGTCACGATTGTAACCTACCATTTGGATGAAACAGAGGATGTCTGAGGTGGTGCGTTGGTCGGCATATTGGTCAATGCCGAGCTCTCATCGGGTGGGAATACACAGAACCCTAGAGACTTTTTCCCTAGAGATCTTGAGCGAGCAGATCATGTCATTTGGGGTGTCGATGTTCCCCATTATTCCACGGTTGTCAGGGTCGTACTCGCAAGTCTGCCAGTATTGTTGCACGTACTTTATAGGTACGCCATTATCGGTTAGAGTCAAGGCTGGTAGAAGGATGCAGTTACGGAAGAACTCGATCATCACAGCAAACCTGTCGTCGAATAGGTTGGTTTGAAGTTCGATGGCATGATTGTTGGGCTTCATTGGTAGGAATACTATTGTTCGGCTGTCGGCACCGGTGGATTGAACACGGCTATCGTTGTTGTTGGACTCGTGTGATGCGGAGGAAGCCATTGCGAATGAAGTTGCAGGTAAGTTTGTTCGTCAAAGTTTGTTTGCAGGTTTTAGGAAGCATAAAGGGTGAATGGAGGTAGAAGAAGGGTATATATAGGTGGGGGGAGGAGAACATGAAACGGTTTTCTGATTATTTAAATATAATAATCATGAAAGGTGAAGGCAATTGGCAAAAGGTGAGTTGATTTGGAGATCGTGAGCCGTCTTGATTGTATGTGCCATTAATGTTGGAGGACACGTGTCAAGGCGGGGATAGGGAAGGATAATTTGAAACGGTTCATGGGGAACAGACTGTATATGGTGTCAGGCGCGTGGGAGAATGACGTATGTATATGGTGTCAGGCGCGTGGAGTATGACGTTTGGTTTATTTGAAGTAATTAAAAATTATTCCAAATAATATCTCTTGAAATATTAATGCAAAAACAATTTATATTTAAAATCCATCAAATTGTAAGATTAATACTAATTACGAAGTTTTGGTCTTCTAAAGAAAGACCCAGATTACATAAATGATAAAAGGTTTGTAATACCTCATTTCTATAAATGATAAACAAACCACCAAAAGTTACATTTTTAAACCTTTAGAAAG